TCCTGCCTCAGCCTCCCAAGTAGCTGGGACTACAGGTGCCCGCCACCACACCCCCGCTAATTTTTTTGTATTTTTAGTAGAGACGGGGTTTCACCGTGTTAGGCAGGATGGTCTTGAACTCCTGACCTTGTGATCCACCTACCTCGGCCTCCCAAAGTGCTGGGATTACAGGCGTGAGCCACTGTGCCCGGCAGTGTAGGTATAGTCTTAAAAGTCTAATCTGAGATTCCTTATAAAAGTTCCAGCAAAGCAAACTTAAAAAGGCTCGTGTGGTCAATTATCATTCTTGCTGGACTTATGTAAATGATCAGGCCAAATTTAACGAGATAAGACTTATTTTGTAAACAAGAGTAATCTTACTTAATCTTTGATCTCAGTGGTAGTAATTATACAGAGAAATTCTACGTTTCAATGGCAAACTATAACCCAGCTGTGTGAGTTATCAGACTCTAGTCTTGTTCACTGTCTTTGAACTGCTTTTTTAGCTCTTTAAAGGATGGATCCTGCCAGCCAGGCGCGGTGGCTCATGCCCATAATCCCAGGACTTTGGGAGGCTGAGGTGGGGGAATCACCTGAGGTCGGGAGTTCGAGAGCAGCCTGACCAACGTGGAGAAATCCTATCTCCACTACAAATACAAAATTAGCCCATAATCCCAGCTACTTGGGAGGCTGAGGCAGGAGAATTGCTTGAATCTGGGAGGCGGAGGTTGCAGTGAGCCGAGATTGTGCCACGGCACTCCAACCTGGGCAACAAGAGCAAAACTCTGTCTCAAAAAAAACAAAAACAAAAACAAAAACAAACAAACAAACAAAAACCACCTGGATCCTGCTGTCTTACACATTTTGTTAGTAATTAGTATTTCCAATTTTCCTCGCACTCTACTGACTTGATGTCACTGAGAACTAAAACGCTTCCTTCTCAAAGCCTTGCAAGCTGAAGTTGGATGGCTAGATATAAACTTCAAAAGATTTATCACAACACTTGGGTCTTTCAAATATTTCCCAGAACACCTGCATCTTCCAGACTGTGCTCCAGGAAATAACCATGATGGTGCCACTACCTACCACTACCATCCTTACTAAAGATGGCTGGAGTCCAACATCTAGAAAATTTCATAACTGACTTGCCCTCTAGACTGGGTTTATCGTCTACTCTGAACATTAATCATTGTTTTCATTTTGTTTCCTTGTTCTAATCTATGTTTTTCCCCCTTTTACAGATCTCTCATCTTACAGTTTCTAACTCAAATCATCTCCCCACAGCGATCAACTTAGCTTCCTTTTTTTAATGAAACTTCTAGGGAAGTTTCAGATGGAGAAATGTGTGGACATTCAGGCCCTAAACTTTGGTATAAAGATTATTTTACTGTGAAAATATTTGACCTAAGAAAGATGCAGCAAGAAATTTTATTTGAACTTCCCTTATTTCACTAAAGCAGAGCCTCCAGAAAATACAGGTGCCATTGGCCTCCCTCTGAGGAAGTTTCCTGTGAATTCCACTACTGTAGAGACAGATTGCCCATTCTTGTAAGCATCCAAAAGCCCAAAAGAACCTTCCACAACTTCCTACTGAAACTCTAAAATCTCCCAACACATTTTGTTAAGTGGATCTATAAACCTTTATTTCTATTTAGTGAGTTACTCTAAATCTTGTCTTTTCTCCTGTTAAATTATTGTTGTCAGTTAATTTGCAGGTCCTCAAACACAGGACCCACATTGAACAAGGAAAAGCTTTCCTTCCAACATAGACAATATGACTACCTGTAGAACATCATTTTGAATGTACAAAAATTATTAAGCAAATTTAGCAAGTTTTCAGGACATAAGATGAATTGCAGATATCAACTGTATTTCCATATATTAGCAACAATCAGAAACAAAATTGAAAAAAAAATCACCATTTACAATATTATCAAAAAATAGAAGGCCTTGCACAGTGGCTCACGCCTGTAATCCCTACACCTTGGGAAGCTGAGGCAGGAGGATTGCTTGAACCCTGGAGTTCGAGACCAGCCTGAGCAGCATGGTGGGACCCCGTCTCTAAAAAGAATTTAAAAAATTAACTGGGCATGGTCGTGTGTACCTGTAGTCCCAGCTACTCAGGAGGCTGAGGTAGGAGGATAGCTTGGGCCCAGGAGGGTCGAGGCTGCAGTGAGCCATGATCACAACATTGCACTCCAGCCTGGGCGACAGAGTGAGATCCTGTCTCAAAAAATAAAAATAAAAAAAATAAAAAATACTTAGGTTAAAATCTAACAAAAGTTATAAGAGTTTTTTGTTTGTTTGTTTTTGAGATGGAGTCTCACTCTGTTGCCCCGGGTGGAGTGCAGTGGTGAGATCGCTGCTCACTGCAAGCTCCGCCTCCCAGGTTCACACCATTCTCCTGCCTCAGCCTCCCGAGTAGCTGGGACTACAGGCGCCCGCCACTGCACCCGGCTAATTTCTTCTATTTTTAGTAGAGACGGTGTTTCACTGTGTTAGGCAGGATGGCCTCGATCTCCTGACCTCGGGATCCGCCCACCTCGGTCTCCCAAAGTGCTAGGATTACAGGTGTGAGCCACCGTGTCCGGCCAGAGAAATTTTAAAAGACCTAAATGTGAATGGGTCAGAAGATTTAATACGGTTAAAATGTCAATTCTCCCCAAATTGATCTGTAAACACAATCCCAGCAGTCTTTTTTTTTTTGCAAAATGACAAGACAACTCTAAGATTTACAAGGAAATCTGAAGAATCTAGAAGATACAAAATAAGCTTGAAAAATAAAAACAAAGTTGTAGGACATAAACTACCTTATTTCATCACTTATTTATATAGCTGCAATAATTAAAACAGCATGGTGCTGGCGGCAAAAAGATAAATAGCTCAATGGAACAGAATAGGAAGCCTAAAACGAAACACATACATATGCGACACAGATTTCGACGTAAGCACAGAGGAAATGCAGTAGAGACAAAAATAACGTTTTAACAAATGATGCTGGAACATTTGGATATGTATACATGCAAAAAAAATGAACTTTGGTCGCTATCCCATACCGTATACAAAAATTAATTAAAAGTAGATCTTATCCTTTGAGCCCAGGAGGTTGAGGCTGCAGTGAGCTGTGATCACACCACTACATTCCAGCCTGGGCAACAGAGTGAAACCCTGCCTGAAAAAAATAAAATAAAAATAAATAAAAAAGTAGATCCTATACCTAATATACAACCCAAAACAGTAATATTTCTAGAAGAAATCCTAGGACAAAATATTTGTGATAGTGGAGCTGAAAAATCTATCAAATACTAAACTTTTTTTTACCACCTTGACTAAAAGTAATGGGTTTATATACTTCATCATATCATTTAATTCTAAATCTACAGAGATCAATGTCACTTTCTCAGTAAAAGTACGTGAGTCTTCAATGATGACCAGAACTCACACTCCCAAGTAAACCATAACACCGTGTCTCCCGAGTAGAGCTTATTAGAGCAATAACTTGTGATAATGATAAATATTGATCAAAGACTGAGCCTAGGAAGTGGGTTTTTTTTTTTTTTTTTTTTTTGAGACGGAGTCTCGCTGTGTCACCCAGGCTGGAGTGCAGTGGCGCGATCTCGGCTCACTGCAAGCTCCGCCTCCCGGGTTCACGCCATTCTCCCGCCTCAGCCTCCGAGTAGCTGGGACTACAGGCGCCCGCCACCACGCCCGGCTAGTTTTTTTGTATTTTTAGTAGAGACGGGGTTTCACCAGGTTAGCCAGGATGGTCTCGATCTCCTGACCTCGTGATCCACCCGCCTCGGCCTCCCAAAGTGCTGGGATTACAGGCCTGAGCCACCGCGCCCGGCCGGAAGTGGGTTTTTTGAGGCTGCATATACTCAAGGCAATCCTTCAGAACCACAGAGGGCTCACTGGATCCTATTAACCGCTGAGTGAATGAATAAACAGATGAAACAGGGACCTGAGTAGATGGTAGTTGATATTCTTGTACATATATTCTACCTCTAGATTCAATAGAAAGAACGAAAAGTACATGAGTTTCAGTACCAACATCTTCGACAGCTACCAGCTGTATCACCTTGGACCAGTCAGGTAACCTCCCGTGAATCTGGTTGCTTCCGGGGCGGGGATCCGTGCGCGGGAGTTTTGAGCCTGGGAGCAGGCAGGGCACAGGAGCTGGAGGGCCAAGCCTTTGAGCTCTAGGGAGGTCGCCGGGATAGTGGGTAGTGCCCGGCCGATCGGCGGCTTGGGGGTTGCCTGAATGTGAGGTCTGGGGTCACCACGCGGTGATCTGAGTCCTGGGATGCCCCACAGGGATTTGCTGCCTCAGGGATCCGAAGTCTCATTCACTCCCCCACTGGGGACCTGAGCTTTCGAGATCCTCCTGTGGGGGTCTGAGATCTCGGGGTCAGCCTGTGGGGGTCTGAAGCCTCGGGGTCCTCGCGTGGGGTCTGAGGTCTCAGGGTCCCCTCCGTAGGGTCTGAGGTCTCGGGGTCTCCCCTGTGGGGTCTGAGTCTTGGAGTCCCCCATCCCCGGGATCGGCGGTCCGGGTCCCCAGAGCAGGCAGGGCGGTGGGTCGGGCCCCGAACAGTAAAGTGGCGCGCCGGCCCCAGGTGGTGTAGGGCTGGCGGCGGGGGGATAACGGTGCCGAAAGTCCGCACAAAGCCGTCCGCTGGGGTCCCGCCCCGCCCGCGAGGCAATGACTGTGCCCCCTCCCATTCCCGATCCTCAACTCAGGTGAGCACAGATGAGGCGCCGGGAAGCTTCTAAGTCGCAAATGGAAATAGAAGGCTAATTCAGGGGTGAGGGGCCGTCGTGCTCGTTACTCCCAGGAGGAGAGAAAAAACCACGGCCCCGCAGCCGGGGGCGCGGCGAGGCATTATCCGGCCCCCTCCCCGGGGTCTCAGCTCCCTACAGCCTCCCGCCTCCCGCCTCCCGCCTCCCGCCTCAGCTACAGACAAATCCCGGAAGCGCGGAATCCGTCAAGCGCCGTGAGGGCGGCGCGCTCGCCCCGCGCATGCCCAGTGCCCGCCCGCGCCGCCAGGGTCTCCAGCACCGCGCCGTCCAGCCCGCCGGATCCCGCCGTCTGTCATGGCGGCCCCCATCCTGAAAGGTGAGGGACTTCCTGCTTCCTGCGCCAGCCGCGGGGGAATTTGAGGACTGGCACCCCTGGTGGCGGGCGCACTCGGGGGGGGGTCCCGTGGGAGCAGCCCCGCTCGCGCCTCCCTCGCTGCCTGTCCCCTCCCAGATCCCCTGCCGCCTCCTGCCTCCCCCGCTGCCTGTCCCACCAAAACCCCCGGCTGCCTGCTTCCCCTCCCGTGCTCCGTGTCTCCCCAAACCACCGACTGCCTGCTTCCTGCCGTATGCTCCCTGTTTCCCCAGAACACCCGGCTGCCTTTTGCCTCCCCCGTGCTGCTAGTCCCCCTCAATCCCCCGCTGCCTGCTCTCTCCCCCATGCTGCCTGTCGGTTCCAGGATCCCGCCCCCCCCCCGCCATCCTGACTCTTACCCCACCTGCTCTTCACCCCGCTGCCTTTAGTCCTGGCCCGCGGAGCTAACAGGCAGTCAGAGTCCTGGCCCTCCGGGAAGTTCCGTGTGGGGTCCTCCTGGTTGGTCCTCTGCTCTACCCTCTCTGAGGCCCCACCTAGAGTTTCTGATGCTTTAATGTATTCACATATAGGAGCCGCCCTATTTACTGCGGCAGATACGCTCGTGTGCCAGGCGCTGTGCTTAGCCTGGTGTGGTATTGTCTGATTTTTTAACCGCTGTATCAACTCTCTTACCTCGTATTACAGGTGGAAACTAAGGCATGGGGCGTTTAGGTGCCTGTCCCCCGGTGTGTGGCTATTCAGTGCTGACAGAGCCTTAGACCAGGGCTGCTGTCCCAACCAGTATATGATACCGCACCCAGTCCCGCCCGCTGTGCACCTGGAAGAGCCCAGGAGCGGGGAATAGAGGACACCTGTCTTGTAGAGTTTGGCCGTGGGAAAAAAAGGGGCCTGTATTGTGGGGCCTGGAGTCATAAAACCTCATAGCCAAAAGAAAAGACTAGAGGCTTTATACAAACTCTGTAATCAGATGTGTCTATTTTTCTAATGTTAGTATTTTGTTAAATTAACCTGGTTTTCCCTTAGCGTTACCCGCAATCATTGACCAATGGCACACCTGGAAAATTCTTTTAACCATCAGGTTTTGAGAAGAGGATATCCAACTAGAACAGGGTTCCACAGACTATGGTCCCCAGGCCATATCTGGCCTGCTGCCTGTTTTTGTAGGGTCTACAAGCTAAGAATGTCTTTTACATTTTTAAGTGATTTTTTAAAAAGGACAAATGAAAAATTATATCACATTCACATTTTCTTCTCCATAAATAAAGTTTTATTGGAGCACAGGCTGGCCCATTAATATATGACCTATGGTTATGTTTGTGCCACAACCATGAAGTTGAGTAGTTGTGACAAATACTCTACTGGCCACAAAGCCTAAAATATTTACCATCTGTCCCTTCACAGAAAAGACTTCTGCACTAGAAAAATTAAGCCTAAGAATTTGGGGAAAACATCTAATTTTAGGAATGTAAACTGTCATGTATCGTATGAGTACAGTTGTTCTTTGCTTAAAATTTTAATAAATTCCACTGAAGCTATTTTGAATAGGCTTTTAGTAGAAATTTATTTACGAGACAGAGTCTTACTCTGTTGCCCAGGCTGGAGTGCAGTAACGTGATCACATAATAGCTCAAGCAATTCTGCTTCAGCCTCCTGAGTAACTTGGGACTACAGGCACTACCATGCCCGGTTATTTTTATTTTTATTTTTTATGTTTATTATTTTTTTGTAGAGCCAGGGTCTCACTATGTTGCCTAGGCTGGTCTTGAATTCCCAGCCTCAAGCCATCCTCCTGCCTCCACCTTCCAAAGTGCTGAGATTACAGGCATGAGCTACTTTCTCAGCCAGTAGAATAAACTTAATTTACTTTTCTTACTTTTGAGGCAAGGTCTTGCTCTATTGCCCAGACTGGAGTGCAATGGTGCGATCATAACTCAGCTTCTACTTCCTGGGCTTGAGGAATTCTCCCACCTCAGCTTCTCCACCCTCCCCCCGCCATTTCCCACCCAGTAGCTGGGACTACAGCCACTCGCCAGCATTCCTGGCTAATTAAAAACAAAAAATTTTGTAGAGACAGGGTTTCACTGTGTTGCCCAGGCTGGTCTCAAACTCCTGCGCCCAAGTGATCCCACTGCCTTGGCCTTCCAAAGTGCTGGAATTACAGCATGAGCCACCACACCTGGCCAGTAGAATAAATTTTTGGTTTACTCTTTTTTTTACTTTTTTATTTTTTGAGACAGAGTCTCGCCCTGTCACCCAGGCTGGAGTGCAGTAGTGTAATCTCGGCTCACAGCAACTTCCGCCTCCCGAGTTCTAGTGATTCTCCTGCCTCAGCCTTCCAGTAGCTGGGATTACAGGCGCCCGCCACCATTCCCAGCTAATATTTTGTATCTTTTAGTAGAGACGAGTTTTCACCATGTTGGCCTGGCTGGTCTCAAACCCCTGACTTCGTGGATCCACCTGCCTCCGTCTCCCAAAGTGCTGGGATTACAGGCGTGAGCCACCGTGCTGGCCTCAGTTTACTCCTAAATATAAATAGAACAAAATATATTGGACAGGGGATGCTGGAATTACAAATGTATATTTCATGTTCATATCTTGTTTTCAGATGTAGTGGCCTATGTTGAAGTGTGGTCATCCAATGGAACGGAAAATTATTCAAAGACATTTACAACACAGCTTGTGGATATGGGAGCAAAGGTAAGACATTTATTTTGCTGTTGATTCATATGACAGTCTTCTGATAGGTAAAAGGTTACATTTGCATTTTCTTATTTTGGGAGTTATTACTTAGAATACAGACAAAGCAATGGGTAAGTGGTGGGAGAAAAAAGAGCCAAACTGTGAAGAATGTAGAACAGTAGGACTTACAGAACAGTTGGGCCTGTGGGCATTGAGTGAGGAGGAGGAACCTAGGATGAAACGCTGGATTCTTACACTGGTTACTTAGATGCATAGTACTATTAAGCAAAGGAACAGGTTTCTAAGGGAAAAGTTGTAAACTTGGGCATATTGAAAATATCTATTAGACATTTGGATATACAAGTCTGGAACTTGGAGTGTTCAAGGCTAGAGATGATGATTTGGGGGGTCAGGACCATAGGGGTCATGTAAAGTCACAGGTGTGGACGTCGTCCCATGTCAGGCATGGTTAGGATGAAGAGTGGTGATGGGAGGAGCATTGTTCAGTATTCAAGGACAGGCGATGGGAGCAGGGACCCAGTGACAGGGGGAGAGAAGAATGCCAGGAGAAGGAGAAAAGCAAGTGTGGAAGTCAAAGGAGGGAGTAATTTTTTTTTTTTTGTGATGGAGTCTCTCACTCTCTTGCCAGGCTGGAGTGCAGTGACGCAATCTCGGATCTCGGCTCACTGCAACCTCTGCCTCCTGGGTTCAAGCGATTCTCCTGCCTCAGCCTCCCAAGTATCTGGGACTACAGGCACACACCACCATGCCTTGCTAATTTTTTTTTTTTTTTTTTTTTTGCATTTTTAGTAAAGACGGGGTTTCACCATGTTGGCCAGGATGGTCTCGATCTCCTGATCTCGTGATCTGCCCACCTCAGCCTCCCAAAGTGCTGGGATTACAGTTGTGAGCCACCGAGCCTGACCAGGAGTAGTTTTTTAATTGCCTTTCAGAGCTCAGAGGGAGTAATTTTAAAGATAGAATTTTTAAAAACTACAGATAGTTCAAGAAAGATAGGATGGGCAAATGTACTTTGGATTTGAACACTATAAGGTCATTGCTGAAGTTAGTGCAGTTTTCAGTGAAATGGGCAGGAATCATTGAGATATGAGGAAATGGAGATAGCAAACAATTTGCCTTATTCAAGGTTTCTTAGTATAGCCATCTGTGTTATCAGATTTACTATCACATAGTGCTTGTGTTCAAGTAGCTTTATTTGACTTAATAATGTCCTTGATACCGAATAAGTATGTTTTGCCCACGCACACTAAACCCATCACTGTGATGACGGGTTTTACAAAAGAGAAAAGATTCATTCACAGAGAAGACCAGCTAGGAGGCAGAAGAGTACTCAAATCTTCATTCCCAAAGATAAGGCTTAGGGATATTTATCAGTTAGGGAAGTGGGGTGATCTAAGCTGTGGGGAAAAATGGAGTACTTGATCTGCACAAGCGTAACTGGGGTTCATGGGATGCATATTTAGAAAACGGGCATTATTAGGAGGCTGAGGCGGGTGGATCACCTGAGGTCAGGAGTTCGAGACCAGCCTGGCGAACATAGTGAAGCCCCATCTCTACTAAAAATACAAAAAAATTAGCTGGGTGTGGTGGCACACACCGTAGTCTCAGCTATTTGGGAGTCTGAGGCAGGAGAATCGTTTGAACCTGGGAGGCGGAGGTTGCCCTGAGCTGAGATTGCACCAGTGCACTCCAGCCTGGGCGACAGAGTAAGACTCTGTCTCCAAAAACCAAAAAAAACCAAGCAGTCACTAGTAGGATCCGACGGTGAAGATTTTGTCCTGATGTCAAAAGGTCACTTCTTGGGCATTTGCACAGGCCAGGTTGAAGAGTTGGTGGTTGCAGCCTGTTTGAACTGTAGAGGTGCTGCCCCAAGTTCCTGAAAAGTAGCTTAAGCAACGGTTGCCATGGTGACATATCCACCAGAAGTGTTATAAGGAAGCCAGTGAAGGTTGTTACAGCATTTAGCAGCATGACTTGCAGCTATATAGGAATAAATAAATAAATTATAAAAAGCAAGTCACCAAAAGCAAACAAGGCAGATTAAATTTGGCAGACCTAATTTTCAACCTTAAAGTGCAAGAGTGGTGATGCTGGCAATTCAGATATGCCAGAGAAGCCTTAAGGTGCTTTAAATGAAAAGGTGAAAGTTCTCCACTTTAAGGAAAGGGAAAAAATTGTATGCTAAAGTTGCTAAGATCTACAGTGAGAACAAATCTTCTAATCTTGAAATTGTGAAGAACTGTGCTAGTGTTGCAGTCACACCAAACTGCCAAAGTTACAGCCACAGTGCGTGATAATTTTTATTACAATACATTGTTACAATTACCCTATTTTGTTATTGTTAATCTGTGCCTAATTTGTAAATAAAACTTCATTGTATATGTATGTATAGGAAAAAACAGTATATAACCGGTTCAGTACTAGCTCAGGATTCAGGCATCCACTGGGAGGGGTGGGGGGCGGGCGGGCATGTCTCAGAACTTAACCCTCGTGGATAAGGGGGAACTAATACACTCTTACAGGGAGTTTAGCTATGAAAAAAGTCTGTTTATGTCCTTTTCTGGCATTTCGGAGGGGCTGACTGATAGGCTGAGTGAAAGAGATCCATTAACAATGGGAGAAAAGATAATCAAAGGTAGGGCTAGGTTGGGGTGGGGCAAGAGAGCTGCCGTGGGTATAAACCTTAAGAGGCACTCACCACCAGGCAAAGAGTGGGTGCTACTAAATTTTTTTACCCTAAGATCCTTGTTTGACCTCCCTAATGCCTGTCTTGAGTAAGAGGTCAGTGCAGAGGAATCCGAATATAGGAGCAGGGCCTGCACTGCAGGAGGGCAGACGTGCCTACTGTGATACACCGGAATGTAGGAGCCTGAGGGAGTCTGCGTGTTCTCATGCCTGACATTTACCTGGGATGAGGAAGAGTTATTGTGAATGAGAAAAAAGCCATTAGACAAGTGAGTTGACAAGGTGGTTTGAGGGTAGCATTAAGATCTTAGATCTTTTGGATCTTTTTGGTTTCACCTTTTATTTCAAAACTTGGCAAGCAAAGTTGAAAGAATAGTGAATATAGATTCAACAGTCGTTAACATCGTAACAGATTTGGGTATTTGTAGTATCATAATCCAGGATTATCTTAAGCCAATTTCAGGATTTGAGATGATTTAAAACTAGACTACAGGCCTGTGAGAGTCATTATAACTTCTGATTCACCCTTAATCTAGATGCAGCTCTTTGGGTCTCAGCCCAAGGTGTAGGGGTTTTATCAGACCCCCTTCTCCCTTTGAGGTTTCTCAATTTTTGTCCTGTTTGCTAAATTTGTGTTTGCTAAATTTAATGAAAGCCTTGTGGGAAAATGGCCTCAAATGCTAGACTCATCTCTAGGTATCAGTCTTAATCTAGAATCTCAGCCCGGTAATTCTTAGTTGCCTTGATAGCTCCCATGGACTTGGTAGGGTTGTGGAGACTGAGAGAGAGAGAGAATTATAAAAGCAATACATATTTATTGTTTAAAAAGACTAATGGGCAGTGCCGTGAAATTCACAATGAACACAAAGAGAAACCAGCAACTCTTTGCAGTACGTTTCCTTTTCCATTTTTCAAAGACAGTTACTTTCAAATCATCTGTTTCTTTTGGTATTTGCCTTCATATTTCCAATCAGTGTACATATATTACTTCAGTACAATTGAGTGCTATAAAAAATTATGCAGATGAGTTCTGCTTCTGGAAAGGATACATAAAAGGTAAAATTTTTGACACCATGAGTGTCTGAGCATGCCTTTATTATACTGTTACCTTTCACTAATATTTTAGCTGACTAAAAATGCTAGCACAAATATTGTTTTTCCTTGAAGGTATTTCCCATTGTTTTCTCACTTCCAGACTGCTGTTGATAAGCCGGATTCAGTTGCCACTTATCATTGTTTGCATGTGATGTGTCTCCATCCTCTTCACCTTGATTACCTACTCTTTTAATATTTTTCCCTTTTGCCAGCCATGCTGGAATTCTGTGATAAGCTTGGTGTAGTGCTGTTTTCATTCTTTTGCTGGGCCTTTGTGAGGGATTCTTTTGATCTAGAATGCATACCCTTTAGTTCGAGAAACTTTTCTTTGATTATGTCTTTAATAATATTGTCTCCATTTTGTGTATTCCTGTATTTCTTTAACTTCTGTTGATTGGCTGTTGGATCTTCTGGTCTGAGCTCCTGACGTTCTTGCCTTTTGTCTCCTGTTGTGTCCGTCTTCTGGTTCTTTTGTTCTACTACCAGTAAGCTTTTCTCAACTTCATTGATTGATATTTCTGTAGAAAATTTTATTACTTATGTCATCTTTTCTTAATTTCCAAGAGCTCTTTAGGATCCTATTAAAAAATAATCTTCTGATCATGTTGCATGAATACAGTATCTCTCTTTTTTGTTTTTTTTTTTTTGAGACGGAGTCGTGCTCTGTTACCCAGGCTGGAGTGCAATGCTGCGCAATCTTGGCTCACTGCAACCGCCACCTTCCGGGTTCAAGTGATTCTCCTGCCTCAGCCTCCCGAGTTGCTGGGACTATGGGCACGAACCACCATGCCTGGCTAATTTTTGTGTTTTTAGTAGAGACAGGGTTTTGCCATTTAGCCAGGCCAGGCTGGTCTCAAATTTCTGACTTCATGATCCACCTGCCTCAGCCTCGCAAAGTGCTGGGATTACAGGTGTGAACCACCACACCCAGTTTCCTTTGGTTTTAATTAGCTGAATTTTTCCAACTTTTTGAATGATTGCACTGATTTTCGACCTTCTTACTTTGTATTTACGCATTTAAGATTACAGGCACCCGCCACCATGCCCAGATAATTTTTGTATTTTTAGTACAGACAGGGTTTCACCAGGTTGGCTAGGCTGGTCTCGAAATCCTGAACTCCTGACCTCAGGTGATCCACCCACCTCGGCCTCCCAAAGTGCTGGGATGACAGGCATGAGCCACTGTGCCCGGCCATGAATACAGTATCTTAAGATATTAAGTGTTCTTAATTTTGGTTAAATATGTGTTCTGTTTTCTCTGTTGCCTCTGAATTTCATTGGTTTTATTTTTTTGATATAGAAAGCTTTTCTGAAATGTCCATTATTATCTGACTCTTTCCATCTTCTAAAAATGTGGTGCCTTCTCATGGCCACATTTTCTCTTCTGTTCTCTTTAGCCTTGCAGGGCTCCAACTCTTTATTCTTTCAGTAACACTTCAGAGGGTTTTTTAGAGGGAGTAGACATGAACTTGTGTGTGTGATTCACCGTTCTAACTGGAACAGATATGTTTTAAGCAGCGTTATGCATTCCTTCGAGTGTTTCTCTGTCAGATTCTGAGAAACAGAATTGCTGGGGTAGAGGTTTTTTGATCAGTTGTACTTAAGAAGTTGTGAATGAACAGTAATGTACATTTTGTTTTCTGCATTTTGTCTACAGGTTTCAAAAACTTTTAACAAACAAGTAACTCACGTTATCTTCAAAGATGGCTACCAGAGCACTTGGGACAAAGCTCAGAAGAGAGGCGTAAAGCTCGTTTCAGTCCTCTGGGTTGAAAAGTAAGCAGCTTCTCTCTGACTTTTTTTCCTTAAGTATCTAGTATTGAAAATGTGTGGAGATATTTTGCACAGATCACAGAACCAGATAAAGTTTGATTTTCATCTTTTCTCTGCCTCACCTCACCAAGTAATTTGACATCCTCCAGCCTTAATGTCTGCAGTTCAAACATGGGCGTACTGTAATACCTAACTCTGCCTAGGGGGAGAAGGAGCCTCCAGGTCCTGAAGCTGGGTATGCAAGGCGGACTTAGGAAACAAGAGGGAATGTGATGAAGCAGATTGTGTTAGTCAGCCAGCGCTGCTGTAACAAAAGACCACAGACTGGGTAGCTTGAACAATAGAAATGGACTTTCTCACAATCTGGAGGCCGGAAGTCCAATATCAAGGTGTCCACAGGGTTGGTATCTTCTTTTTTTTTTTCTTGACACCAAGTCTTGCTCTGTCATTCAGGCTGGAGTGCAGTGGCTAGAGTTTGGGTCACTGCAGCCTCTGCCTCCTAGGCTCAAGTCATTCTTATGCCTCAGCCTCCCAAGTATCTGGGATTCATCTCAACCTTCGCCTCTTGGGCTCAAGTGATTCTCCTGCCTTAGCCTCCCGAGTAGCTGGGATTACAGGCACACACCACCATGCCTGGCTAATTTTTGTATTTTTATTTATTTTTTTTATTTTTTATTTTTTGTTTAGTTTTGTTTTGTTTTTTGAGACGGAGTCTGGCTCTGTCGCCCAGGTTGGAGTGCAGTGGCCGGATCTCAGCTCACTGCAAGCTCCGCCTCCTGGGTTTACGCCATTCTCCTGCCTCAGCCTCCCGAGTAGCTGGGACTACAGGCGCCCGCCACCTCGCCCGGCTAGTTTTTTGTATTTTTTAGTAGAAACGAGGTTTCACTGGGTTAGCCAGGATGGTCTCGATCTCCTGACCTCGTGATCCGCCCGTCTCGGCCTCCCAAAGTGCTGGGATTACAGGCTTGAGCCACCGCGCCCGGCCATTTTTTGTATTTTTAGTAGAGACAGGATTTCATCATGTTGGCCAGGCTGGTCTGAAACTTCTGACCTCAGGTGATCCACCTGCCTCAGCCTCCCAAAGTGCTAGGATTACAGGCGTGAGCCACCGTGCATGGCCCACACAGTTTTGATTACAGTAAATTTGTAGTAAGTTTTGAAATTGGGGAGTATGAGTCCTGTAACTTTGTTTTTCATTTTCAAGATTGTTTGGCTATTTTGATTTGGGTTCCTTGCTAAGATTGTTTGGCTGTCTTGTTTGGGTTCCTTGCATTTCTATATGAATTTTATGATCAGCTTGTCAGTTTATTCAAAAATAAAAAAGGTAGCTGGGATTTGGTAGGATTGTATTGAATCTCTAATTAGGGAAGTGTTGGTGTGTTTATAATATTTAATCTTCTAGTCCATGAAAATGGGATGTGTTTCTTTTTCAGGTCTCAAATTTCCTTCAGTGATACTTTCTAGTTTTCAGTGTACAAGTTTTATACCCCCTAGGTTAAATTTATTCCTAACTTTTTTGTTCTTAATTTTTTTCCGTTGTTAGCTGTTAGTGTATAGAAATGCAGGTGATTTTTGTATATTGATCTTACACCCTGCAAATTTGCTGAACTTGTTTATTAGTTCTAAATTGTATTTGTGGGTTCCTTAGGATTTTCTATATGCAGTGTTGTATAATTTTGTAAATAGAGATAGATTTACTTCTTCATTTCTAGTCTGGCTGCGTTTTATTTTATTTTACCTATTTGTTCTGGCCGGAACGTCCAGCACAGTGTTGAATAAAAGTGGTGAGAATGGACATCCTTGTCTTGTTGCTCATCTTTGGAGAAAAGCTTTCAGTATTTCATTATTTAGTATGATGGTAACTGTGGTTTGTATAAATGTCCTTTATCAGGCTGAGGACATTCTCTTCTATTCCAGGTTGTTTGTTGGTTTGTTATTATTAAAGAAAGTTAGATATAGTTGTCAAATGTTTTTCTGCATGATTGATCATTGTGTGATTTTTGTCCTTCATTGTATTAATGTGGTGTAATGAAGGGTTTTGTATGGTGAACCAACCTCCAGTCCTAGGATAAATCCTACTTGATCATGTTATGTACGTTGTCATCTTTCCTTTTTAATTGTTGAAACAGGCCAGGTGCGGTGGCTCACACCTGTAATTCCAGCACTTTGGGAGGCCGAGGGGGTGGATTACCTGAGGTCAGGAGTTTGAGATGAGCCTGATCAATATGGTGAAACCCTCTCTCTATTAAAAATACAAAAATTAGCCAGGTGTGGTGGCATGTGCCTGCAGTCCCAGCTACTCTGGAGGTTGAGACAGGAGAATCACTTGAACCTGGGAGACAGAGGTTGCAGTGAGCCAAGACCATGCCATTGCACTTCAGCCTGGGTGACAAGAGTAGGGGGGAAAAAAAAGAGTAAGGTGTCCTTCTCTGGCTTTTGTCAATATTTTCTCATTATCTTTCACTTTCAGAAATTTAAGTATCTGGATATGGTTTTATAAAACATTTATTTTGTTTAGATTTTACAGAACTTGTTGAATGTGTACTTATCTGTGTTTCTACATATAATTCATTTTTGGCCATTATTTCTTCATCTATCTTTTCTGCCGCATTTCCTCCTCATTTTTTCTGATTAGCTGTATATCTTTTTCGAATTAGCTGTATATCAGGGATTGGTAAAGTTTTCTGTAAAGGGACAGATAGTAAATATTTTAGGCTCTGCAGGCCATGTGGTCTCAACAGCTCAGCTTTCTTGTGGTGTGAAAGGAGTAATAGAAAATAAGTAAACAAATGCCTGTATCTGTGTGACAGCAAACTTTACTTACAAGTCTGGCAGTAAGCCAGGTAGTTTGCCAATCCTTTCTATGTAATATACCTTTTAAATGTTTGCATTTGTCCTCAGTGCTCTCCTTCTTGTTCATTATTGTTGTCATTTTTTTTTCTTCCCAGATTGATCTGTTTTCAAGTTCATTGACGTTTTTCTCCATCAAATCCATTCTGCTACTTAGTACCTTTATTTCAGATATTTTTGATTTCTAACATTTCTACTTGGTTTTTGTATACATTTTTAAAATTTCGTTTTCATGTGAGATTTCTCATCTTTGCTTTTCCTGCCTTTTGTTATGAATGTATTTTCTGTTACCTCGATGAGTATAGTTATAAGTAGTTGTCTTAATGACCTTGTCTGATAATTTTGAGGTTGCCATCTGTTTTGTTTTTGTTTTTCTTTGATAGTGTGTCACATTTTTCTGGCTCTTCGTATGGCAGATAATTTGAGCTTGTATTTTGCACATTGTAAATACTATGTAGACTCTGGATTCTTTTGTATTGTCGCAAAGAGCATGGCGTTTTTGTTTTAGCAAGCAGTTGACTTGTCATTAAAGTTAAATGCACACTGTCATTATGTGGGCAGTTGCTTAGATGGGCTCATTGAGCCTCAGGTGCAAGCTGATTTGTTTGTCTCAAACACTTGTTGTTCAGGGGTCAGCCAGAGACTTGAACTGCCATACTCAGAACTTGGGCTTTCTCCTCTGGTTCTCTTACTTCCTGAGTCCTTACCTCATTTCTCTGGTGGCCGTAGGTGCCCAGTCTCCTTCGTCTGGTCTCTTCAGCGAGAAAGGAGGCCGGAGCTTCTGCTTGAGTGCTGCTGCGCCACACCACCTCCCACAGAGACTGTGGCTGCCTTTAGGGGACAGACAGAAAATGTGGTGATGCCCAGAGTCTTTTGCTTCCTTTTAAAATTTGTCTCTTCTTTCTTTTTCTTTTTTTCCCCTCCAGCTTTCAAAGCTCTCACATCGTTGGTTTGTTTTATTTTATTTTTCCTGTATTTCCAGGATGTATAGCTTATAGTTCACCTATATTTGTATATTGGTTTGTTAGGAATAAACAGAAATGGAACGGAGTATGTTATTTTTGAAGCATCTGATGCCAGTCTAATTCTTCTTCCCTTCAAAATTATTTGATCTTTTTGCCTGGCGACTCCTTAAGGATATTTTTTATTTTATTTTATTTTTTATTTTTTGAGGCAGAGTCTTGCTCTGTTGCCAGGCTGGAGTGCAGTGTCACGATCTGTGCTCTCTGCAACCTCCGACTCCCTGGTTCAGCGATTCTCCTGCTTCAGCCTCCCGAGTAGCTGGGATCACAGGCACGTGCCACCACGCCCAGCTAATTTTTGTATTTTTAGTGGAGACGGGGTTTCACCATGTTGGCCAAGATGGTCTCGATCTTCTGACCTCGTGATCTGCCCACCTCAGCCTCCCAAAGTACTGGAATTATAGGCGTGAGCCACAGTGCCTGGCCAGGATTTTTTTTTTTAAGACTCATAGCTTTACTGTAATATGTTTTGGATTGATCATTCCAGTTCTGGCTTGGCCTTTTCAACAGATTCAGGTCTATATTTCTGCAAAAGTTTCTTGGATTATAGATTCAAATATTCTGTTTCATTGTTTTGCTTTTCTTCTGGGACTCCCAATAATGTTTACATTGAGCCTGCTTAGCTTTTATTTCAGCCACTTTGACTTTGACCCTTTTATATATATACACACACACACACATATATTTATATACAGACACACATACATACACAGACACACACACACATATACATTTTTACCCGAAATACTCATTTGACAGTATTTGTTTTTGTTTTTTTGAAGACAGGGTCTTGCTCTGTTTTTGGGTTTTTGGAGACAGGGTCTTGCTCTGTTGCCCAGTCTGGAATGCAATGACTCAGTTGCAGCTTACTGCAGCCTGGACCTCTAAGGCTCAATCAGTCCTCTCACCCCAGCCCTCCCGAGTGACTGGGACTGTAGGCATGTGCCAACATGCCCAGCCATTAAAATTTTTTTTTTCTTTTTTCTTTTTGAGATGGAGTCTTGCTCTGCGGTCTAGTGCAGTGGCACAATCTCGGCTCACTGCAAGGTCCGCCTCCCGGGGTCATGCCATTCTCCTGCTTCAGCCTCCCGAGTAGCTGGAACTACAGGTGCCCACCACCATGCCTGGCTA